TTTAGTGCTTTATTTTAGTTTTTTATTGCTTTAAAATCCGTACTCTACTTATATTTTACCGAACAGTACTTGGAAGTAATAATAAAAATGATAATAATAATAATGATAATAATGATGAGAATATCTCACTGCGAAATACAATGACAAAAAAATGTTAAGAAAGAAACTGTGTCGCAAGAATAATGTAATGTCGTATACATCCACATTCGGGCATGGTGTTCACAGAACATCCCAACCGGACTGGTTGAATAGTATTCCGTGCGGGCGTCGTCGCGACCGTTCGCGTCCCCTGTCCATTGATCGATGGGGGGATGGGGTGTCACGGCGGCGTTGCGTGCCGCGGTCTGGCGGTTGATGAAAGAGACATAGGCACGGTCGGCGACAGACGTTTCGATAACGGCTGCCACACGGGTCCACGTCACACTGCCATTGGTAGAATTTACACGATTCACTCAAATCAAAGTGAGTGCTTCCTTTTAATATTGTTACTTAATTATGTACATGGTCTTACTTCATTTGAAAGCTTGAAGGCCTTTGATGGAATCATTCACGCGACTTTTAAAGCTACCTGTTTTGCTCTTAGGCTACCCTAAATGTACTCGAGCTGATATCGTTAATGCTAGTTTAAAATCTTCCCTTATATGGAACTATGTTGAAAAACTTTATTTGCGAACAAACATGAGAGTTTATTTATGCGGAGGGGACGATATTTTTCCAGCACAGTTGTTGAAAATTGGAAATGGAATTTTAGAAAATGAAAATGGTTACATTTCTGTCAATCACACGATTGGACGGGTGGTCAATAACGTGGAAGAGTTGATTTCTACAGTTTATCCTGATATTTTTAATCTGTCCAATAAATCTTATCAGTAGTTATGTGAAAGAGCTATTATCTCTCTGAGAAATGTAACAGCAGGAGAAATTAATGATATCATCCTTCTAAAATTTGATGGACACTCACGTGAATATCTATTTATTGGTACAGTTACATCAACAGATGATGCTATTCATTATCCACAAGAATTTCTCAATTCTCTTTCTCCTTCGGGATTTCCTCCTCATAAGCTAAAATTAAAAATTGGTGCTCCAATTACATTATTACGTAATCTTCAACCACCGAATTTATGTAACGGTACAAGATTACAAATAAAATCGTTGCGAAATAATATTATAGAAGCCGTAATTCTTACAGGGCCAGTGAAAGGAGAAATTGTATTTATTCCAAGAATTCCCATGATTCCCTCCGACTTGCCGTTTTCTTTCAAACGGCTTCAATTCCCGGTTAAAGTTTCTTTTGTCATTACCATAAACAAAGCGCAAGGTCAAACATTCAAGTACGTTGGCGTAGATCTTCATATAGAGTGCTTTTCACATAGGCAATTATACGTGGCATTTTCTCAAATTGGGGACCCAAATCATCTTATGATTTTAATTTCAGCTGGAAATATAATAAGTAGAACATTGAAAAACACATTATATTTATATTTGATAACATTATAACATCAAAGAACAAGTCTTCTTTTTGTAGAAATATTTTTAAAATCATCAATTACACTTTCAACATTGATATTACTTACATATTCATGTTCTATAAATAAAAATAATAAAGCGTTGAACCTTTCTTGTGTGATTGTGCTTCTTAATTTTGTTTTTACAATAGACATTTTAGAAAAACTTCTTTTGCATCCACAACTGGTCACTGGTATAACCACAAAATATGTTAGACAGTTATAAAATGTCTTGAATGTATCGGATATTCCTTCTATTGCTAACCAATCAAGCCACTTATACACATAATTTGATGATGTTCCTTTGGATGTGTCCTTAATACTTTTTAAAAGCTAAATCTCTACAAAAAGATCTTGTGTTTGAATATTTAGCAAATTTTTTAAAATGTATACATAAGATAAGTTGCAATTTAATTCTAAATTAATTAATTGTTTAATCACAATTATTAAATCATAGTTTTCTTGTTTGAATCTGTTATCGATTCCAAATAATAACACATCCAATAATGGAAAAACAACAGTTACTTTCATTTCTTCACTCTTTATAAAATAAATATAACGTGATGTAGAACACTGTAAATCATCTCTCTTTTTTGAAACTTTTCTATTTTTTACAGTTGGTATTTTAATATTATTTTCTTTACACATTTATTCTGCATTGATAAATATAGACTGCATTTCTTGGGGTGAATTTCTTAATGAGTTTAATGAAGACATTAAGGCATGTATAAGTGAAACAGCAGTAAAAAGTTATAAGTTCGAAGCTTGTAAAGATGAAATTACTTCTAGTATCATTTGTAAAATTGGTTGCATTAAATTTAAACAATAAATAAACTCAAAGGTTTTAAATTGATATAAAAGTTCACGGCATTGCTCTTGCTTCAGGTACCAAACATTTGGAATTTATTTCTTCTAAAGTACTTAATAAAGTTTTGTAATTGTTTTTAACTGCATTCACTGCATCAGCGCGACAAGCCCACCTAGTTTGAGACATCGATTTCAATGTTTGTACTTTAGCACCATCTAATTTGGCAAATCTTTCAAATACTGCATGTCGTATTGGACTCCCTTCAATAAAAGAATAAATAAATTTTACCGTCACAAGAAAATCAATGACACATTTATTTACTTCACTATACTTTGCATTAACACAAACAGCATCCAATAAAGTTAAATTTAAGCAATGTTTGTAACAGTGGACATGCAAAATATTTTTATTTTTATTCTTGCATTTGGCTTGTACGCCGTTAATATTACCTACCATAGTTGCTGCTCCATCAAAACATACTGCAACTACATTCTTCCAATTCAACATAAATTGACAAGTAATTACATCATTAAGTGCATTAAAAATTGATTCTGAATCTACAGACAACATACGTCTCAAATTAATAAATTTTTCTATTGGACGGTTTGTTTTGGTATCAAAATAGCGAAAAACTATAGAAAGTTGCTCGTGGTGACCTATGTCGTTGGATTCATCTGCAATAATTGCAATATGAGTGTTTTGTAATTTTAATTTTAATTCTTGAATAATTACATTGTGTATAGAATTTATAAAGTCATTTTGAATTATATTACTTGTGTACATTACATTCTTAGGACCACTATCAATATGAGATTTTAAAACAGAATCATATTTGTATAGGATTTGAATCAACTCTAAGAACATACCCTTTTGATAACTGGTTTGCGATTCATCATGGCCACGAAAAGGTTTACCGCATTTAGCAAGACAAATTACAATATCAATTTAGCGTTTCATAATTTCCGTGTTATTTAATCGTTCTGATTCCCTTTTACTTAGCTGTAAAGATTTATTACAGTCAATTACTTCGTCAATATATTTTTTAAAATAAAAATTATTCATAGCTGTTGTACTATTTATATTTTATTATTTTTTATATTTTTATAATACATCACGGGCTTTTGCCAGTATAACAATTTAGTACAATAAATAGTTTATACAGAAAAATTAAAAATTATTTAGTGAGAAAGAAGGGTATAAATTAGCTAAATACATGCAGCGACGTAGTGGTTCATTTTGACTATAGTTAGTTGAAGAGGTGGCAAGTGAAAAAGGAACAGTATGGCGAGAGGTTCGGACTGGAACGTTAAAAGAGACTTGGGATAGTAAGTATGGTGAGTTAATTTTCCCCTGTAATAATTTGGCCAAAAAGATAAGATTTTCTGCTTGCCTACGGTTTGTTAAAGTGTCTAGCTTAAGGGATTCTAGGATTGCAGTATAGTCATGATTGGGACACTCAATTTTTAAAATGTGGCCAACGTAGTTCAAAAATTTTCATTGAACTCTTTCGAGTATGGCTGAATTATAAGCCGTTTGAGGATCCCAGATGACAGAGCCATATTCTAAGATTGGCCTAACAAGCGAACAATAAAGCGCTTTTAAAGGGGATATTAATTTGAATTCGGCAGATACCCGCTTGACAAAACCGAGAGTTTTGAGAGCTTTGCAGCAGATCTGCTCTATATGCAAGCTAGGATTAAGCTTAGGATCAAAGAAAAAACCTAAGTCATAAACAGATTTGTCGAGTGGAATCAAAGAAGAACTACTTACAGAGTAATTCAATTTAATAGGAGAACTCTTACGTATAAAGATCATTGAATGGCATTTAGAAGTATTAAACTTCAGACCTAACTTAGTAGCCCAGGAAATTAGATTATTCAAATAATTTTGTAGTATTAAACAATCATTCAATGAGTTCATGTAACGTTCGGAAAAACGCACAAAAAAAAGAAACACTAATGATGAAGAAAAGAGTGTGTTTTTATTACAATAAGAATTGTGCTCGTAGAGCGTTAATGACACGAATAATATATTTGTGCTCGGAGAGCTTATACGAATAACGGATAGGTCGCGTCGACGGGAATAAAGACCTCGAACGAACGATACTTCAGTCGGTGCAATGCCGGAATTACTCTGACTATTGCCCCATAAACCGATGGTTATGCTGATCGATGCAATGCCAGAATAACTCCGACTATTACACCACTGACCAACATAAATATATCGTTCGTCGAGGTCGGGGGGATACTGTCTTCCAATGTTGTGTAAGTCTGCCTGGGAAGGTCTTACTACAACACCGGAGAGACAGTAAATGGTGAATTTCCATTACGCCACCGTGCATTTTATAGGTAGGTGCACCGATAACGGCGTCCGTTGGCGCGATGGATTTAGCCTGGTGACGACAATCCGAAATTCGGTGACAATTAAAATAAAAATAATACATTAATTAACTACGTAACATGCGCGAACAAACTCGATATCTCATTTAAATAATAATAATAATATGAATATTAATCTTAATAAGATAAGATACCGAGCGTTCGCACATGTTACGTAATTATTGCATAAACAGTTCACTTGATAAAATAATTTTATATCATCCGCAAACGCTAAGAAATGTACCTGCTTTAACGCTTTGTTGATACTGTTAATGAATAAGTTGAAAGGCAAGGGGGATAGGTGCCAACCTTGGGGAACGCCTGATGAAATGGGAAGGACAGTAGAACAGATACCATGAATTTTTACCCACTGCTTTCAATTATCAATGTAGGAACGAAACCATGTAAGAACCAAAGCTGGTTTCTTTCAAAACGTATATAAGGAACAAGTGATAAACACGATCAAAAGCATTCGCAAAATCGGTGTAAATGACGTCAATTTGGGAGTGGGCGTTAAAGGTTTTAAATATATGATTGCGAAAGACCGTATTGCATGTAGTCGTAGATCGACCTGGCCGGAACCCATGCTGCTCATCTATGATTATAGGATTGACAATTGGTTGAATTTTATTGAGTATGATAGATTCAAATAGTTTTGAAACGTGGGACAGAATAGATATGGGTCTATAATTAGTAACTTGGGAGACATCTCAAGACTTGTAGACAGGTGCGATAGAACAAAGTTTCCAAAGATCAGGAAAAATCCATTCATCTAAAGAACGGCGGAACAAGAGCCATAGGGGGTAAGAAATTGTATCCCGAATGTTGAATAAAAAAGTTCCAGACAAACCGTCAGGTCCAATCGATTTGATGTATCTTAATTCTTAATGAGGAAAGTCCATAATGTATATCATGAACCGAAAAAAAACAATTACTGGGTAAATCGAATTGCGGAATATTTAGACTAGGTAAGTCAAAATTTTTCCGCTTTAGGGTGTACACCGAGTTAAAGAAAGAAGAAAATAAATCAGCCGTCTCATGTTCATTTGAGCTTGTTGTGTTATTGTAATTCATTGTTTTAGGAATACTTTTAGCAGAACGGTGTTTCCTAACAAAATCCCAAAACCTCGAATCTTTTAGCAATGATTCTTCTGAAACAGATCTAAAACGCCGGAAGCATTTTTTGGTCTCATATTTACAACGTGCCCGTAGTCGTGAAAATTCCCTATAGTGAGTTAGGCTCTTAGTGGACTTAAAAAATCAGGTTTTTGACTTCTTTAGAGACCCAGGACGGAAAATAAGGTTTGGAAAAACGAAGTTTTGAGACATAAGTTAAAACAGTATAATGGAGTGCATCAAAGAACGTATTAACGGCTGTATTAAGATTTAAATTGGAAAAAGTTGAGCCCCGGTTGAAAGAGGACAAGTAATCATTAATTTCACTATAAAGACCTCTATGAAATTGATAGGACTCATGAGAGTTATCGAAAGACAACGTAGGCGCAACAATTGAGAAATTTAAACTAATGGCTGGATGAAATGAATCTATAGGGACCAACTGCTCCAAAGTGGGTTCGATTCCCAAATTTTCAAGGTTAGAGAAGACTAAATCTAGCACTGAATCATGGCTATTTGGGACATTGTTATGTTGTAGAAGTTTGTGAAAAACAAAGCCTTCAAGAATAAATGAAATGCGAGGTCGAGGATTAAAATTATATTGCATACCATGTTCATTTATAGACCACTTAATATCAGGCAAATTGTAGTCTCCACAAAAGATAAAATAATGGCTAGAATATTGGGAAATAATGGAATCAATTATAGACATGTGAGATTCATAAGTAGTAGAGTGGGAAGAGGGATGGAAGTATGCAGCATAATAAAGTGATAATAAAGTGACGATAATCAAAGGTCAAACGTATAAATAGCTGTTCAACAGCAAAACTAGTCACGGGCAAAATATTAGAAAGTAGATCATTTCGAACAGCAATTAAGACCTCTCTTCCGCGCGTACAAGTACTGGTTATTTTACATCTGTCAAATCTGTACACATTATAATTATTGAAACCTAGCTCAGAATTAAGGAACGATTCATTAAGCCAAGTTTCAGTTAAAACAATGAAATGATAATAAAAATTAAGAACATTACACTTAACATTTAAAAGTTTGGTACGAAGACCTCTACAATTCTGATAGTAGCCGGAGACTGATTGATAATTTAACTCACTACTTTTACACATACCTTGGGTTGAGATGGTAAGCGGTATGCGTTTTTTGAGACGTTTGAAACAGTTTTTGGTACACCATTCATGTATTTAATGTGGAGCCCAGATTCAACACGTTTTAATCGTTTGTTAAGTTCTGAGTGGCACGATCTCAATAGCTCACGTTGAAGAGGAGTCTTGTCCTTGACAATACGAAAATCTTAAGGAAATTTTATACCACCCTGTTTTGCGTCACTGAATGACTCCAATAATTGAAATGTTTCGGATTTAGACTTCATAATGATTTTCAGTGGACGGGGGTTTTCTGCTCGTATTTTACCAAGTCGAAAAACCTTGGAGAAAGCCGGAGAGATATTTAACTTCTCGAAGAGAGTGAGCAGTGCAGTATTGTCATCTTCAATACGCTGGGGTATGGCGGAAGACACAGACTCAGGGAGACCGTACACTAAGACATTAGAAAGGCACTTTTCACGCTCAAAATTTTCCTGCATGACTTGCGAAACGATAGTTGATGTGTTATTAGACAGTATCTGAGATTCAAAGCTCGCCACTTTCTCCTTGAGCACATCAACTTCAACACTTGGTGCAGAATTTTCATTTTTAAATTCGGCAACAAGACCAGATAAACCCTTAAGGTAATTTCTAATATTATTAAATTGCTTAGCTTGAGCTTCAGACTGAGCTTTAATAGATTTAGAGAAGTCTTCCCGGAAGAACAAGAGGGTAGCCATTGCATCACTGATAGAAGTTAATTCTTCAACTTGCTCCGCTTGAGTAGTATGTTTGGTTGAAGAAGCAGATGTGTTTGAACTGTTGCGCAGTTTACGTTCGATGGTCTGAGTGTTTCTCGAATTTGAGGTAGTAATTACGGGAGTTTCGCTAGAGTGCATGGTGTAGGGTAACTTGAGGTAATTCTAGGATTAATGGTGGGGAACTATGACAACTGACGTTTGAGGCTTCAGAAATTTTTCCGCAAAAACAGTAGAGAAAAAGTCGAACGGCAAGGCGCCCAGCGCTGAAGCCAATTACAATGCTAAAATCAATGAAGCACCTGTAAAATTGCGATATGTAATATTCGAAATAGGTGATATAAGTAGCCAGTTACTGTGTCACTCTGTATACCGGGGAATTCTGTGCGCACAGTTTATAGAACGTGTAAGACAGATGTAATCGCACCGATAAATTAATTACGTTGTGGCGCAAGATAACAAGTTCGGTGTAAGATTAAAACTTACGTTTGACGTATCCACTGTGTCCGTGTAAAAATTTGGAGTTGGTAAAAACTGCCTTTAGGGGGATGTTTTTGTTCAGATCGACTCGAAAGCGACACCGATCTGAACGCGCACTTTTTAGAATCGGTAGAAACAAAGAACGTAAAAACTGTTCACTATTATAGAGGCGGTCGAAGAAAAACTTCGGGAGTTATTAACGACGGCCAACGAAGTTTATCTGTTGATTTATGTGATATTTTGACATTTGATGAAATTTTAATCTTTCAGAAGCCCTGTACCAACTATTAAATCCTGTTTTAGTAAAAACTTTTTCTGTCTGACCGATATTATATTCATTTCCATTAAAACAACGACACGGAAAGCCAAACACGCTGCATCAACTATCGGACTATATTCTAACCAACTATACATTTCATACCATGAGTTTTGAAACGAACACTGTTTCTTTCCTTGTAAAGTTCTCGAGTAAAGCTTTAAAACTGGACGATATGGATCTTGATTAATTTTTTGATAAAATTCAATACGATTGATTGGTAACTTAACTGTTGGATCATTGATAATAATATTAAATTCTGAAACAAATTAAAAATGTCCATACATACATTATAGAATACTGATAAAAATATTTATTATTAAATAAAATAATATAAAATGTAGAATATATTATTATCCAATATTAATCACTAACTTTAAAATAATTAATTATATTTAATTATATATTTAAAGTAGGTAGGTAGGCAGGTAAATAATAAAATATAATTATTTATAAATATTTTCTGTATTTTATATTCTTTAATACATTCTTTTAAGACTAAATATTTACCTGTGATTTCATTGGTAACTTCTTTTGTTTGATTTTGGTTACCATTATCCTAAATTCATAGCAAAAAAAAAAAATAATAATAATAATAGTCAAATTACATTTTCACTATTCTTTTAATTTTATAAAATTTATAATATTTATGATAAGGCAAATAAAATTATACATAATAAGAGTGGGTACTGGGTAATGATTAACTTACATCTGGTTCAGTATCAGGTGTATTACAAATTACATTTTTGTTGTTCTTTTCATTCTGTAAAATTAATAATACTGTGACTTGTTGACTCAAAAAGGTAAAATATAAAATACCAATCTAGTTAAATAAACACTTATACTTAATACTTATTACTTACCATGCATGAAGCAGGGACATCAGGATCATCTTCGTTTTCAATAATATCAACGATCAATTTGTTATCGTTTTTTAATTTAAAGAAGGTTTTTATATTTTGACAAAATTCAGCAATTTGTACTAATTTAACTTTTTTACGATCTCGTTCTCAAGCGGCTCCTCCTTTTTTCCTTTTAAAAACATCCATCCTCTCAATACTCGGTCTCAAAAGAAAAAAAAAGTCAAAACCGAAAACAATAAATAGGATTAGTGATAATCAGTCACGTGTATCCAATCCGTGTGTTTGAAAAATGTGACAATAAAATTTGTAAACCACTAGATTTAAAATTCGGTTGACCGGCGCCTTTCTAAAATTGCAGGGGCAGCCCAGGCTGCCACCGTAGACACGCCTATGGCTGTCGACCGTGTATACAATTCTTTATCGCACCTGCTCAGTTCCGATACCGCTCGCCGCGGCCGCTTATTCGAGCCAGACGCGCGGCCCGGAATAATTTTACTAAATTAATTGTATTACTTTTATTTAAGGGGCCTCGACACTAACATTTATTAAGGGACATTGTACAGGCAATTTCTATAATTGTATTGCAGATGTGTTAGTAATTGTATACTCGTAAATGGACATTAGTGTTAGTAAGTAAATTTAGATTGGTTCCCCGACCACCGTACGACGTGACGGCACGACCGCGAAAACAAGATAAGATAAGATAATAAAATATTACGTTGTAATAATATATTACCGATTCTTAATAATGGGAATTGTCTAGCATTATTATTTATTATACATTACCTACAGACTGTACTGTAATAATATTATAATAGCTTGATACCTAGTTTTGGTGTGAACTGGGTTGGATAATCATTATATGACTTGACAGTTGACACTCAAAACGATATTAACATTTACATATTTTTAACTAATATTATAACAGTTTAATAAATGTATTATTTTATTATATTTGTAATTGAAAATTGAAAACACCAACTATCTCTACATAACAGTTATATTGTTATATTTTTCATACAAGAAAACTTGTTCAATTGTAATTATAACATTTTTGATTAGTTATGATTTATGACGAATAAAATAAATTATATGAATAAGACATATTATTATTATGATTTATGATTTATTGCAATTAATTGACATTAGTTCAAATATAAACAACCAAACACCATATTTATAACCTAATATTTGAATAAATACATTGACATCAATATTGCAAATAGACTATATAAAAAGTAGAACAGAAAAAAATCTAAATATTTATACTAATTTCGACCTTTTTTTTTCTTTCTTCTGTTTCGCTTCCAAAATATAAGTAGGATTCCTAATCGGCATGCTTCTGGAATGTCTCAGATCAACTAGTTCCGGTAAAAGACAGTTCAAGAAAAAATTTTGCAGCTTCGGAAACATATTATTTTCTCAAAATTGGTCATCTTTTTCAATATTTTCATATTTTATGCCTTTTTTTGTCCAATACGCTATTATTCCAAATGTTCGGCCTGTCACATGCAACTGTCCTTGGATTTGGTAATAATATTTATGATGAGTATTTATTCCAATAATATCTTTATCTTTATTTATTTTCCATAGAGTAATTTTTCTTTGGCGTATCCCTTCTTCTGGCATTATATTTGTAGCAGATATGGGGCATTTAATTTCAACCAATGTGTCATTACCTATTAGTCCATCAGGTGTTGCTCCTAAGAAATGATTTTTGGTGTCTATAAATAAACCACATTCACTAATACTTACACCTAACGCTGTTTCCAATTGTAACTTGGCCTCTTGTTCATGTTCCCGCCCATATTCTATTGCTTTACAATCGACGTTTGGTGAGTACAACATACTTTTTACAACACTTTCACATCCTGTATCAGCTCGTAAACAAATTATGCGTCCAAAATTTGAAGCCGTAACAAGATGCCTTCTATATTCCAACCATTTACTTGATGCTGATTGTTCCACTGTTTCTTTTTCAATGACATCGTGGTTAGCTGCCATTTCTTTTAATAAATGAAAAATATTTTTTTTTTCATCATCAAATTGCTCGATGGTCATATCCGGTTTTTGTGACTTTTTACCGTACGACGGATCAACGTAGTCGCTTTTGAACTTCAATTTAGTTCTGTAGGTTTTGCTTCTAAGTTCGTTTTGACGTATTTGTTTTTTCTGGCGTTGTATTTCAAACTTCGACGATGGCCATTTTTTCCCAGGACTATGCTGCAATAAAGTTTTATGTAATTTATACAGTGGCCGTTTTGTATTCTTCATCACTGTTGCAGCAGCCACACGCCCTTGGTATGACCTCGACATAGCAAAATTAATCCTTTTGCCACCAATTAATTTTGCTATAATTCCATTCAGGGATTCGACGACGTTGCTATCCACATTTTGCAACAAACTACGGCTATTTCTTGCTAAATACCGTACAGGTTGCATTAAAATATTTGAATAAAAATTTGAATCAGTTGGTTTAATTTTTTCAAGATAATTAACATCATTATCTTTATCTTTATCTTTATAATCACAAAAATAAGATGCACATTTATCATGTTGACCAAAAACGTGATCTATAGAATTTAAAATGTTATTTCATAGATCATTTTCTGTATTTTTATTTTGTCTTCTATACTTGATTGCCGAAACGATTCCTCTCCTTAACCTTAAAATATTTTTTTGTAGTAACTTTCTATGGACCAATTTACCAGCTTCTTTTTTGGTAATAATTTCTTTTAATTTCTTAGAAAAATTCCGAAGCAAATGATTTTTACACTCAATTTTTTCGATTGTAAGATTTTTGTAGGGACGTGCGTCCAAAATTTGCTTATAAACGCTGCTGTCTCCATCACCAATTAATTTATGGTACCTTATTCCATACATGAGTTCACTTTCTTTAAACCCCTCAACAACTACCGCAGCCTCCATTGCTGATGACCCATCAGAAGACTTCCAGTTTTTAAAACATTGGTGGTTTTTAGCTTTATCCTCAGTTTTTGTTCTAGCACATATTGCGCAGAATTTATTCTTGACACCCATAAACAAAACCTGTCTTGTTCTGTATCCTACAAGTGCAGCCTAAAAAAATTAAAAAATTTAACATAATATATAGTCCCTACCTATGTTAGATAATTTTTGTTGAAATATAATACTTATGCACCTACATTGAGTAGGTTATTAAATGTAGTTAAATTATCTGTTCTACTTTATACTAATATAATACAGTATTATAAACTAGTATATGGCACTATACATTATAAATAAAAATAGAATACTGCTCTTATTTTACTATAAGATATTCTCTATACTTATTCTACTATTATATTATTATGTTTAGTAAAAATTATTACTTACCATACCAGAAGGTGAATTGTACATAGTCCTATACGACCTCTTACACCAGCTTCCATCAGCTACGACTGCCACTAAAGGTGTTCCATCGACATCAACTTCTCCTTCTGCAATGGCTAGTTCAGCTTCAACTTTTGCTGCTTCTTTCATTGTTTCTAAGGCGGTTTCTTCGTACCCTTTACATATACGATCGTGCTCAGTCTTGTATGTCTTTATATGAATAGTTGGTACTTCCATTGCACTCATAACCTCTTGAAGCTGACTATAACCACATCCAATGTTCAAGACTCCAATGACTGCTGATGTATTTATGGGCATAAATACATTGTTTTCAGTACCCACAGTCTTTTTAATTTGACACATACTGCACTTAAAAGTGAAGATTGATTTAAAACCAATTCGTTTCTCACCAATGACAATCATATTTTTAAAACTACAGTCAAATGGGTCATGCTTGTCAATATTTTTAATTTCCTCGAATAAATTAAATATATTTACAATTCATCTACCACATACTTCAATTTCTTCCGTATTATTCTTCGCCGGTGAATCTGAAATGCATAAATTTGGATATTCTTCGTATTGTGTTTGGTCTTTTGTGCATAATATTTCTGATTTATTGATTGGTGATATATTTAAAACTGTATTGAATAACGAAGATGACACATTTACTTCTTTATTTATTGGTGATGAACAACTAGGTTGTAAATGATTGGTCATATCCAACAATGAATTTTGGTACCCGGTAGTATCCAGAGGGGTAGCTAATGAAATATCATCATTGGTTAACAAGTAGTTACATTTCCCGTGGATGTTGGTATTCGTAGATATTGATGATGTCGTTGATTGAAATGCATTGCTAGAGAAATACCCGATATCATCAAAATTAAATTATCCTGGGTTTATATAATTGGTCCAGTCATATAAGCTCCAAAATTTGTGTTTTGAGGAATTAAATCGGAAAGTTTTGAAACTTCGCAAATAGTTTGGTTATAGGTTCCTGATTAACAAAAAAAAAAGCCATCCCTCCGAGGTCCGGAAGTGTCCGCCATATTAGATTTTATGTGCGATTTTTCAGTTTTTTTAAATTTTCTTTGAAAATAATAATTCTAACAATATATTAAAAGCCTAATATTATACATTTTCAAGCTTTTTGACTCAAAGAATACAATTTTTATATTTAATAATATTATATATATTAGATTCTGAACGGAGTGAAGAATGTATTGATTTTACCATGATGATGATTTTTTTTTTATTTTTTTTTTGTGTCTGTCGACACGATTTGGGGCAGTAAAAATGCTTCAATTGCCTTAAGTAGCAACTTTTCTGAAAGGAAAGCGACTCTAATTGGTACTTTAGGGGGTCAAAAGTGAAAAATTTTCAATATTTTTTTAATGCGTCGGGAAAAACCCTGCAAAATTAAGGCAAAAACGGTACATTTTACGCAAAACTAGTTTTCGACAAAATCGAATTTTTTGTTGTTGCTATAACTCAAAAACTAATCGATGTAAATACTTGAAATTTTCACCAAATATTTAGATTAGCGTTCTTTATACACCGTTAAATTTTCAAAGTATTTTGACTTTTATTGAGCTAATTATAGATAATTGAAATTTTATATTTTTATAAGTATTTTTTTTTAAAATAACGATAAAATTTTTTTGGCCGGCCAGAAAATCTTGAAAATTTAATACAAGGTTTCTTATAAGTTGTTCCTTAACTGATAAAAAAATATCCAAAATCGTAAGTCACAATTTTTTTTTATAAGTGCTCAAAGTTCCAATTTATACGAAATATGTAAACATTGCGAAAATTTGCAAATAATTTTGTGGTTGAAAAATCGTAAAATTTTTTATTTAATTATGAACGGAGATGATTTGTCAGTCTAGGATATATTATATTTAAATATTGTCATATATTCTATTTTGAATCAAATTCAAACATTTAAGTAAAAGTTTTTTTTGGTTATCAGGAGCCTATAATCAAACTTTTGGAAAAGTTTTAAAACTTTTCGATTTAATTCCTGAAAAAATCATTAAATGACTGGACTAAATATAAAAGTTTTTATTAGAATGGTGATATAGCAACTTACGTGGTTTTAGTAAATGCCTTTACATTCCCTTTATTTTTTTTTCTGTGGGATAACGGCTTTCTATGCTTAGGTTTGTACTTGCTATTCATTTTAACTTATAAAGACAAAACTTCACTAAGCAGTAGAATAATGTTGGTTACGTCAGACGATTGTCTAATGACTGAAACTTCTAAATCATTGATAATAATATAAACGATAGGTTTATTGAATTATATTTTGTTATCCTGAGTGTAGCCCTCAGTTCACAGTAAATATACGAAGTACAACAAATTACAAAATATCTAATAATAATATCCTTATCTACATTTCGCTTGTGCCGCGTCGGGTGATGATTGCGAGATGGTTGAGAATGCTACGCGGGGAAATTTTACGCACCCGCAGACACATGTCAAAGTAATTGTTCCAAACAAATTAATAGTGAAAATTTCACACTGAATACACGATTCTACTTTTAACAGTAGGCTCCCATAAATACTCCGATTTAAGTTTTGAAAAAACTTATAAATTCTTAATAACATTTCCAAGGTATCGCTCGTGATACAATTTAAAAAATATTTTTAATTATTTAATTATTTTTATTTGAAAAGTTGCAATTTTTCAAAATTTGAAATCATTTAAAAAATATTATTGAAAATAAAAATTCAAAATGTATTCCGACCGATGCATCAACCAAGTACTGAAAAATCTAAATCCGTTTTCAAAACTTATGTCGGATGACGCATTCTGGAGTATGGTTAAATTTAGAATGTGCTATTTTCTATCAAAAACGGGCTGGTGTAGAGGCCCCTAAATGTTAAATAAATAACATGATATTTATTTCGTGTACATTTATATAAAGATCCGGGTGTCGGTAACCCCGGCACACCGTTTCACGCCTTACCCGGATATCAACTTCTTAAGTTTTTCTTTGGTTCAGTACATTCAACAAGAATAATAATAGAATCATTATAATTCAAAGAGAAGGTATATTGATAGTGTTGAGGCGAGTTCTTAATAGCATTAGATGCAAAAAGGGTGGTACAAATTGAAGCAGATATAGGTTTATCATTGATTTGAGATACAGAGTGGCTTGAAATATTAGGCCCATTAAAATTATAGGTGACCATGCAGTCATCAGTCAATGGCGTATTATTAACAGATAAGGAATTATCGCAATTAAAAATAGAGTTTGACGTAATTAGAAGCAGAGGGTTATTGATGATGCATTGAAAATTCAGAGAAGTCGGATTAGATTTTTCAATATTAGAGTTACGCACATTTTTTTACTATTAATAGTAATGAGTTCGAAATTAGAATCTAGTCCACGGGAACTATTCTTGGATGTTTTGATTTTATTTGGAACAAGTGATTTATCCGCACGAAAGTGGTCACCCATAAGTCATCCATAGGTCACCCATAAGTCACCCATAAGTCACCTAAGACGACGCCATAGGATAGATAACACTGATATGCAGTAAAAGTTCCCAGCGATAACTAATAAAAAGAAAACACGATCGTATACAATGACTCCTAGGACGTATTTGGTTAACATATAATTATAATTATATTAAAATAATTATAAAGTATACTCGACATTTATCGTCATTTTATTTGGAATCAATAATAGTGAAACTAAATTTAACTATTTAACTATTTAATTTAAATTATTTCTATGAAAGTTATTCCATTAAAACAATTAACAGTTAAAAGATTTTATTAGTGCCACATAGAAAATCATTTCATATTTTCAATTTAGTATTTTCGTGATGTAGTACCTATAAAAGTGATAGTAATTAGTTAAGTTATTATTTTTTATTGGTTTTAATTAATCATTCATTATGTCATTAGTTGGAGTAATAATAGTAATAAATATTTATCAATAGTTAATATGAATTGTAATTGATAACCTGTGATAATTTGTAATTTATTATGATCAGGGCTGTGAATTTCATGCATTTGCATATTTTTTTTTGATACATCGTATGAGAAAATGAATTTGATTAAAATTTGTTTTGCGTTATTTATAAATTAAATACGAAATCTTATTTTGCATATTTTTGTATATTTAACCGGTAAGGGCATATAAATGCATGATTTCGCAAATTCCTCGTGTTATTTCTTTTTTCTCAATTTAATAATACGTTTTTCTCATTTGTAAAATTCCTTGAATTTGGACGATACAATTTTTCCGTTGTAATATTATTGCGGTGGTAATAATAGCAGGAATATGTTATAGAACAGGTCTGGATTGGTGGTATCACGCGTCAAATGTCAAAAACACAGATATATACAATAGTTTATTGTCTTTATTTGTGGTTAAAATTTAAACAACATCTCTAATATATTTTATATTATGGTAGACAAACCGATAGTGTTGTCGGCACCACGCGAGTGGTAATACGTTGTTCGTCGGAGTTCGTACATTTTCTATAAGTTTAATTATAATTTTTATATTATTTGTTACATTTAAATTTCAAAATACCAAAAAAAAAGACAACATCCAGTCGTTTATAAAGCCACGTTGCGGAATTTGAAATGGGAATATTTTCAACAGATAACAAAATTTTGTACTGCAAAGTTTGTAATAAGAAAATTTCAAGTGAAAAACGTTTTTCTGTAATTCAGCATATCGCAACCGAAAAACATCATAAAGCTGTTGAACGCGTTGAAAAAAAAAAATGATAAATCTCTATAGTTTTTGTTACAAAACTCAACAAAATCGTTATTCAAATCTGATTTATATAAAGCTATGCTGAGTGCTAATATTCCTTTCAATAAACTGAGCAATCTACATTTCAAAATTTTTTTGGAGAAATATACATCGGAAGTTATACCAGATCAATCAACGTCAGAAAATCATATGTCAACAGTTGTTCCCAGGAAACTATTGGAGAAATAAGAAATAAAGTGGCAGAGAAAAAAATATGGGTTTCAATGGATGAAACGACGGAAGCTGAAGGTCGTTACACAGCCTCCGTTATAATCGGAACATTACGCACAGATCGGCCAGATGAAATTTTTTTATTAAATGTCGAGCAATTATAAAAGACTAACCATAGTACTGTATTTACACTATTTGAAAATTCTCTTGGTTTACTTTGGCCTGGTGGCATACGTCGTAACGATGTATATTTGTTTTTAAGTGACGCCGCACCCTATATGGTGAAGGCAGGAGATACTTCGATAGTATTGTACACAAAAATGGTCTATGTTACATGCACAGCACATGGATTACATAGTCACCGAATATATCCGTATTCAATATCCCGAAGTAGATAAATATAATGTAAAAAAGTATTTAAATAGGCACCATCTCGTGTTATAAAATTTAAGACTGATGCACCTAATATAACTCTTCCCCCTGAATCAATCCTGACACGATGGGGAGCGTGGATTTCTATTTCAATTTATTATAGTGAACACTTCCAAATTGTTTAAGATATTGTTGAAAATTTTGATTAAGATGATGCGCTTTCAATCCGGAGTGCTCAAAAACATTTTAAAGCACCATATATTAAAGGTAACTTAGTTTTTATAAAATCAAACTTTGAGTGCCTACCTATGGCTATAACACGTCTTCAAAATCAAGACATAGTATTAATAGAAGCTATACAAATTATTGAAGATGTTTCAGTCAAGTTCAATAATTTAAAAGGCCAAATTGGAATCAAAATTAACGAGAAATTACAAACAGTTCTTACTAAAAATAAAGGGTTTAAAATTGTTCGCAATATTTCAAAAATATTAAATGGAGAAGAAAACGTTGGTTATTTAGATATACCTGAAGACTTAACAACAGTGGCGCAACAACCGGGGCGGATGGCGATACCTAGCATCGAGGCCCTAAGACTCAAAGGGGCCCCATCATACTCGTAACCTGGAAGGGTGTTTTTAATGTTAAAGAATTAAATCAAATCTGTGATCATTTAAAATTTTGACCATAGTTAAATTTGATACCGATGAAATTATAATAATCAATAATTAATACATAAGGGCACAGTGTAGTGCGAGCAGGCCGTGCAGTCCGCAAGTTAAACACTATAATATGTATTATTTTATATTATTATATTATTTATATTGTATAATATTTTATAGACTATAGTTCTACAGCCATTGCCCATTACTTAATATTTTGTATGTTATATTATGTATAAATACTCAATACTGTTAACATTTGAGAATAACAGCCCAATAGACCAGTGATTCTTATCCTTTTTTCATTCATGTCACCTTTAGCCACTAGAATTAAACACCGCGTCACCCTAACATCAAAATAATAAATAATCTTAACTGTGTATTTTAGAATAATTCTTGAAATAACAAAAACAATAAAAACAGAAGAATAATAACAGAAGAAAACAGTAGAACACCTACAATTTATTGAGATGCATTGTTCAATAAACATTGATATTATAAAGTTTATACTTAAAATTAAAAAAAAAAGAGAAAATTTTTTAAAGATTTTTATACTTGTTATTTGTTTTATTTGTATATAATAATACTACATATCTAACGACTGCAAAATAACTAACGATCTCGGTTAAGTCGATAAAAAAATCGATAATACATCGATTTTGCGTTAATAACAATACTGCACGTATTCATTGGATCTAAATAATATAAAGATGTAAACTTAAAGGTATGCTATTTACATGACTGTTGTGGTAATAATATGGTTTTATTAAAATTAATTTTTTTCTAATTTTTTTCCTTTTCCTGTGGAGATTTCGTGTCACCCCTACACTGTGTCCATGTCACCCCGGTTGAGAACCACTGCAATAGACGATGGTATCATACAGATTTGTGGAGGGAGAGGTCATTATTTATTTCCGACTTCGATGTACACCGTAAACATTATAGAAATATTATAGAAATCAAGATACACTGGCTATTTAAAATAGAAATAATGACTATTATAGTAATATGAAAATTTATAAATGATACGTCTATCGGTCTATTGTTTATGGTCTATGATACTGTTGACAATATATAAATATACCGGTTTTCTTAGAGCCCGTTCACACGATTCGTTATTTTTACCGGATCGGCTATTTTCTCGATTAGGTGTCTTTCGGTTAATGTTCAGACGGTACGGTAATTCAACCGTACACCGTACTCAACTCTACACTGTACTCGAGTTTCAGTTGCATTTATATCGT